CTAAGTCCAATTGACAAAGTAGTCCTCAGTTTTTTCATAGGCACATCGTAAGGACTCCAGTCTTCAGCAAGCAGTGCATTGTCTAGAGTGATAGAGACATCTAGAGGTTAAGGTTTGAAGATGCCCTCTTGATGCTTGGACCATCAGCTTTCACCAATCCAACCTCTTCTGAAGAGCTTTTGAAGAACGCCTTATTGAAAACAACATCTTTTTGAAGAGCTTTTGAAGAACACCTGGAATACCGCATCCAGCTTTGGTCCCTACATCACCCCAAAAGATGTTGAGACTTTGGAAAATGTGCAGAGAAGAGCAACTAAGATAATTCAAGGCCTGGAGTCTAAAACCTATGAAGAACGGTTGCAGAAAGGGGGCATGGTAGTCTAGAGAAAAGAAGGACCAGGAGTGACACGATGGCAGTCTTCCAATATTTGAGGGGTTGCCCCAGAGAAGAGGGAGACAAGCTATTCTCCAAAGCACCAGAAGGCAGGAGAAGAAGCAACAGATGGGAACTAATCAATTTGGAATTCAGGAGAATTTTCCTGATAGTGAGATCAGTGGAGAAGCTTGTCTTCAGAAGTTGTGGGTGTTCCAACACTGGAGGTTTTTAAGAAGGGACCTGTCTGAAGTTGTAGGGTCTCCTGCTTGAGCAGGGGGTTAGACCTCTAAGGTCCCTCAGCTCTATTCTGATTGAGTGATCTCTTATAAGTAGTATCCCTGTTAGGTAACTCAGCAAGACTAAGAAACCTATAGACGCTTGCTTCAAAATGCATTTGGGGTTCTTCCAGACCATGGCGGAACAAACGTGTAAGAGAGGGAGGGAGGGAGGGAGGGAGGGAGGGAGAGAGAGAGAGAGAGAGAGAGAGAGAGAGAGAGAGAGAGAGAGAGAGAGAGAGAGAGAGAGAGAGAGAGAGAGAGACTGGGCTCTGCTTCCTGCTAAGTTTAGCCAGAATCCTTTTTTGACACTACTTCCTCCGCCTCAACCACGAAAGAAAGGCCACCCAGCTTATTCGGCTCCCACCGACAATGTCCCGTCACAAAAAAGAACTAAACTTACATGCTTTAATTGTTAGGAATAAGATGATCAGGCAGATAACTGTAAGAAGAAAGATGCCCATCCACAGGTACTTGACCGGGACCTTTTTAATCGGGTTCTGAAACAAGTCAATCTCCTCTTCATCCGGTGGCGGCGGAGGTGGTGGAGCGGCGGGTTTCTTAGGAGCCATGGCTTGGAGGGAAAGAGGGAAAAAACGTCAGGGACATTAAGACTTCAAGAGACCAAAGCCGCACCCACAATCCTTTGCCCCATTTCTGTGCCCTTGCATGCGTCACCGCTGCCCTACAGGCAGTGCTCAACTTAACAAGAGTTCATTTAGTGTCCAAAGTTCAACAGCATTGAAAAAAAAGGGACTTATGATCCTTTTTCATGCTTACGACTGCTGTAGCACGATCCCCATGGTCACGTAATCAAAATTTGGATTCTTGGCAACTGGCCCTACCACGCTTCTAATTTCATCTCCAGGTAGCTTTTGGGTTACAGTGGCAATTGGGACTGGATTTTCCATCGCTGAAAGAGCTGGTTATAAAACGCGAATGACATGACCCACATTGCTTAGTGATCCCCCCATCCTGGTGGCCATTTATCCCCAACTATGCAGGTTGCTAGAGGTCTGCAGAATGTTTGGGGTTACCATGGCAACCAGGAGGGTGGGAGGTCTTTGCACAAATCCCTCATGCACCAGGGGGTGACTTTTCGCGGTTCAGGAGACCGTTCCTGTGTGTCACTCATTCCTCCCTCTCAGGGCTTCTGCAATGTATCTTATCCTGCTAGGGTTGATGCAGAATAGTGACCCAGGCAATTATGGGCACTTCTCGCTATGTGTAGCATCTTCACTTCATGAGCTGCTCTGATTACTCCAGGATCTTTGGGTGCAATTCAAGATGTTGATTGTCCTGGCCAATCAACAAGGAACCTTTTGGGTAATCTGTACCTCCTTGTTGATAATCTCCTTAGGTAGTTGTTGTTCTTGTCTCTTGTGTCACTTGACTTCTGCACACGTTGTCATCTGGATGGAGTGGTCCCTCTTTCCTCTGGCCTGGCTTGCTTGCTTTCTCTTCCCAGCTGAAGGCCTCCCCTGCCCTGTGACTCAAGCAGCCTGCTGATTGGCTGCTGCGGGTCCTTAGCAAAGCACAGCTGTGGATGGATTGTGATGGCAGTGCAGAGGGGGCAGCCCTGGAGAAACAGCCATTGGCGTCCGTCCCATAGTTCACACATACCTGGCCTGGCCCTGGATTGTGTGAGAGTAGAGCCTCTCTTCAAAGGGAAGGCCGAGTCAATTCTCAGTAGCTCTGGAGGCTCAGCTCTACCCCACCTTCCTCCTGAGTTGCTACGTAGCGCAAAGTGGCCACTCTGGAGAGCCTGTTTGCTGTAGGGGTTCAAGGCACCAGGCCAGAAACCGGGAGACAGAGAGTTCTAGTTCTGCCTTAGACATGAGGGCAGCTGGTGACTTTGGGCCAGTCTCTGTCTCTCAACCCCAGGAAGAAGGAGGCAAGGCAAAGGCCAAGAAAAGCATGTGGACTTCCCCATGGTTGCCAGGAGTCAAGACTGACTCAAAGCTGCATGCGCACACACACACAGAGAGAGAGAGAGAGAGAGAGAGAGAGAGAGTTTCTTTCTATCCACTGGACTTCTGCAGTCATCACTATATGTGGGGCTGTCCTTGAAGACCATTCAGGTGCTCCATTCGGTCCAGAATTCAACAGGATGATGGTGGTGGTGGTGGTGGTGGTGGTGGTGATGATGATGATAATGATGATGATGGTGATGATGGTGGTGGTGGTGATGTTATCCATTCAGTCGTGTCTGACTTTTGGTGATTCTCCGGGCCACCTCTTCCTTCCTTGCACTACTTCAGCACAATGCACAATGGCACAAATTGTGAACACAAAACACAATTGTCCAGTACACTGCCTTCCCATTGGCTTCCGGGATCAATTTATAAAACTGGGCTTGACCCTGAAAGCCCTACACGGCCTGGTCCCCACGGACCCTCTCCTGCCCCTCCGTCCTCCAGCTGAGACCCCCCAAAATCTTGGGGGAATGCGATTTATTTATGTATTTATGTATTTATTTATTTACTAAAGAAATGTAGATGGCCGCTCTACTCACTCAGAGGGACTCCAGGCACTTCCAGGCATGAAACTCCCAAATACAATGAGCCAATCAGCCTCTACTTCCTGGTGACAACATTCAGACAAGCCACCTGATGGGCTCCATGTCACCCCGTGACCTCCAGACCCTCTGGCAAAACCAAAGGCCATTTGGAAGCCTATCGAGGAGGGGGCTAGTCTAATCTCCATTGGGAGGATAGGGAGGGAGCCACCACGGAGAAGGCCCTTCTCCTTCCTTGTGCTACGGAGTGGACCTCTCGACGGAGCCGACCCACGACAACCTCTGCTGGGTCAAGGAGAGGTAACTGGGGAAAGACGGTCCTACCCATAATCTGGCCCCAAGCCATGAAGGGGCTTGAAAGGGACAGGCTGGAACTGAACCCCGAAGCAAACCCGGCAATTCTCCACCATCTGAAGACTCCAGCTGTAGATCCATTCCGCCTGGCCAAGGGTCCGTTTGCTTAAGCCACCAGGGATCGAGACAGGCAGCTGGGTGTCATCGGCACACTGACGATATCTCAGCCTTTGATGAGAGATGATCCCATCCGGCTTCACGTGGAGGTTCAACCGAAGAGGAGAAAGTACCAGACCCCACCCAGCAGGGGGCGAGGGCGGGACTTCCTGTGCCCAACTGAGAATTCAAAGTGCTGGGTGTCACCTGCAGAGCTCTCTATGGTACGGGGCCCAAACACCCACAGCCTTGTCTCCCTCTGGTGGTCTCTGCCCGTTCGGCTGGACCCCGTAGGAGGGGCATTTAAAGAAAGTCTCTGTGGGACCCAGGAAACACGCCTTTTCAGCCAGGGCACCTGCCCTCTGGACCAGCTTGCCACCAAGATCAGGATAGGCTCCATCTTGCCAGCCTTCGGGGAAATGCCGAGATCTGGCAGTTGCCCCACGGATTGGGGTCAGGGAGTTGGGAAAGGCCAGGAGACCTGACGTTATTTTGTGCGGTTTTTGAAATTCTCAGACACCATTTTTAAAAATTCTTTGTGATACATTTTAATATTTTCTTTATACAGTGATTCTTAGTTTTGAACTTTATTTGCCACCCAGAATTGCTTTGATGAGAAAGGTGGCCAGAAAGGAAGAAAGGAAGGGAGGGAAAGGAAGGAAGGAGAGAGGGAGAGAGGGGAAGGAGGGAGGGCATGAACTCATGCTGAGTTACAGTGAGGAAGGGAGGGAGGAGGAAGGAAGGAAAGAAGGAAGGAAGGAAGGAAGGAAGGAAGGAAGGAAGGAAGGAAGGAAGGAAGGAAGGAAGGAAGGAAGGAAACCATTCCTCTTGCAGTCTTCTCTAGAGGTGCACAGTCTTTGTTCTGCATTATGGGGTCTCTGGGTGGGCTGAGAGCTGGGAAAACTGAGGTCATTTTCTTAGAGCTGAGTTTGACGTCTGGAGGACTTATGGACACGTCCAGGAAGTTTTCTTGGGAAAGAGACGGATGTGGTTGGACCCTTCCTTCCCCCAGCCTGCTTTTCCAACTTCTTGTTCCAGGACCTGCGGCTGGGTATTTCCTGGCACTGTCTTCTATTTTATTTTTATTGCGGTTGTTGTTAAATTTCTGCAACACAAAATCTTTGGACTCTCCTAGCAGCTTCTAGCAAGACGTCTATGTTAACGCCTTGGCAGGCTCTGCCTTTCGAAGTGTGCCACTGGTGCACCTCAAGTTGCCAGGATGCCCTGGGCTTTCTGCTTCTTTGGAGCTCCCAGCAAGAAGGGGAGCGCAGCTATCGTCTCCCCCCAACCAAAGATCCGTGCACCCCTTCAATCTGGGGTGGTCATCCTTTTTTCCCCCAAAAAAGCTTTGGAAGAGGCACACATGGGGCAGTGAGGGAGGAAAGGTCCAGCCAGCCAGCCAGTCCGATCAGTGGAATCCACCCTGGCGACCAATGGGGTGACAGATGAGTCAGATCACCGCTCGTTCCTTCAGGAAATCTTCTCGGTAGAGATAACAGCTGACTGCTGAGCCAGGAGAGTCCCCGTCCACTCCCTCTGTGGCTTTTTCAGGGCCTGAATTAGCCTCAAGGCCAGAATTATGATGTCCCTCTGAACGCCGTCTGGCTGGCTCTGCTCTGAAAAAAGGCCACACCTGGACACGGAAAGGCCACATAAAACCAGCCTCTCTCCTGTCTCTCAGCTGGAGGAACTACGCTCGGACGAAAGAGTCCATCCACAGCCTCTTCCTGATCGGGCATAAGTGGTGGGGTTTGACTCCCCAGTGAAGATTTTCTGAGTCCATCTCATCGGCTCCGGTCAATGTGTTTGGTGAATTTGGGGCTCTTCCGCACCCAGAGTTCCTTTGCAGACCCATCTATTCAGCTGATTGCAGTCAACCTCATTCCAGTTCAGCCCTTTAGACAATGGGACAATAATTGTGCAGCCTTGCTCTCCGTCTCCAGGGCGCTCCGAGTGGCCGGGATGGCCCTGAGACCAGAACCTTGGAGAGAGAGAGGAGGGAAAAGGCCCATTTTACACCCAAGGAAGACTGAGGAGGACATGGAGAGACAGCCATCCCTGGTGGCCATGCCACTGTAAATGACGGGCAGGCAGTGCCCATCACTCAGAAACATCTCCCCTTTCTCCTGCTGCTGAAACCCCAGTCTTTCCCAATACGTTTCTCTCTCTTTTCCCCCTTTCCCAACTCAGGGAATTCAGTTCTGGGATGTCCACATGGACGCATGCCCAAAAGAGCAAAGCTCTATCTCGTGGACATGATTTCTTTGACATACACCCCTTTGCAGGTGTCCCCAGAAACGGCCATTGGACAGAATGGATCTTGTATGTCCCAGCATAGCCTCTCTGGGAAAGAGACAGCGTCACTCTGCAATCCCATTTCTGGAGACACAGTGGCCTCACGCTGACTCCCTCTCAGGTTTTCATCATCCTTGATTTTTTTTTTTAATGCAAAATGGGTAGGTTTCCCAAGTCCTTGAAATTCTCCACAACTTCCTGTGTGGACAAGACGGTTTTGTTAGAGGAGGGGCAGGGCAAAACGTTCTAGAATGTTCTGCAGGACTTTCACATGGAATTATGAAAAGGGAAGAAGAACAATCCTTGGAGGATCCAATATGAGTCAGTCACTGGGACCAAAGGTTTATTCTTCCAAGCTTTGGGATCATGCTGAAGCCCATCCTCAGGGAACTTCTCTCTCTCCAGAATATGTGCACTGGGCCGCTCGACACGTTGCATTGATATAGTTCCTGGTTGTGTGTAGCTTGTAATTGTTAATCGGGGTATTGATGGCTGGCTATTAAGTCGTTAATTGATGTCTCCTTGTGCCACTGCACCCTCAGCACCTAAGTACCTGATAATCTGATGGTAAATCAGCACTCCTATTGACTGATAAGGGGCCCAGTTCGCAGGTTTCAATCATTTCCCTGACTTTTTGTCTCTGCTCAGCCAACAATAGTAATAGTTGTGAAATTGAATGCATGTCCTTGTTTATTGCAATGTGACTGACTCATATTGGATGCTGCGACATTATCCTGGGACACGCATATTTACTTTCATATATTTACACATCCTTGTTCGTGTGTCAAAACCTTACCTGAGCAGCATAGAGCAAGGCCAGCAAGCGTGGACGTTGCTGTGGCCAGGGAAACCTATGCACGAAGCCTATGTGAGGCTCAGAAAGAGGGGTTTGTAGCTTGCCCCATCACAGGGCAGGAAAGATCCCTGCTGCGTTGGTGTTACGAGCAAAGAATGAGGGTCCTGCGGCTCCTGATGGCAGGTGACCACAGCCCCTCTGGGCCCAACCTTGGCAGACTCACTGGGCTATTAATCTGGAGCCGTCGGTCCATTCCCACTTTCCTCGACCCCCGTCGGTCAGGCCAATCCAGGCAGGCTGGGTGAGCTGCGAGGTCACATGGTTCTGCAAGGCAAAAGGAAGAGATGGAGAAGCAGTCTTGGTCTAGGCACAAAATGCATGTGGGGAACCCACCAGTCCAAGGAAGCCCTCAGCTGTGGGAGCACTGCAGTGTCCAGGTCCTCCCTTTTAAGAGGACGGTTCTGGGGGACCTTTAAAAAGGTCTGAAAAATTTGGGGAGGGGTCCTCATGTTTCTCTCTGAAGACGTTTCGGAGCTGAAGAAGCTTCTTTGGTGAGAAATGAAACGTCTTGAAAGAAAAACAAGAAAGTCCAGTTGTCTCGTGAAAGAGCGCCTTGGGGAACTTGCTTTCCTCCTTCAGGGAATCTCCCCAAAAGTGCCCCCTTCCTTCGCGCTTCTCTACCCCACTTTCCCAAGGAGGGTTCCCCTCGACTATGCCCCACGGAAGCGGCAAGAATTGCAGGGGAACCTGGAAGATGCCTGATGATCTTTGGCCCTCCCTGACTGGAGAGGCCCCCCCGGAAGCAGGCTTTGGGCACCCCCAAGTCTGCTGTTGGGGGGAGAACAACAATGGAGAAGGTGCTTTGTCTGGACTTCCTTGGAGATTTTTTCCCCCCAGAGGAAAAACCAAGAAAGTCCAGTTGCCTTTTTTGGGGGGGAAAGCACCTTTGGGGCAACCAGGACCTGGAGGATGGGGAATCTCCACAGAAAACAGTAAAGGACAGGATTTTTTGCCCTGACCGATCTTCTCGCTAAAACCTCTCTGAAAATCGGGAATGACTTTGCCACCTGTAACAGGGAAGCACCCACAGCAACCTTCGTGCCGTGCAATATCTGAGCGGAAGGAGAGCAGAAGAGCGAAGGACCCCGGAGGGAACGGAAGCAGCAGAAGAGAAACGTAACACCTGCTCTTCAGAGCTTAGGATGGAGGTCAGATGGGCCTCTCTGGACAGGCAGAAGTTCTCCGCATCGTACCAGGACTTTTTCCCCCTGGATACGTAGTAAAGGCCACTCCCAAAAGGCTGCCACTCCATCGCAGACTTTCGACTCTTCCTGAAGAGGGAATCTGCATAAAATGGGGGGGGAGAGAGAAAAAATACAAGGCAATGAGTAACTGGGGGGGAGGAACAAAAGCCCACCACCCGGGTATATCAGATGGTTTCACCGCTAGCCTCTCTGAAAGGGTCCTTGTGAGGACAAAGGGGACGATAAGGAGCAAGCGGTTCCGATTCTAAGGCACCGGAGCAAGGAAAGGAGGGCAAACGGTCACATAGAATATGTAGAGTCTCCGTTTAGGAGTTGCGCTGGGTGCCTGGCTGGGAACCGCTTCTCTGGGCAAGGCGCACCACGAGGGGCCACTTAGGATGTAAAGCACTATGAAGTGGGAAATATTGCTACTCACTGTACTTCCTTTTCTGCTCGTTGAAGTTCTTCCCGCAGTCTTTTATGTGGTCTGGCAGCTTCACTGCTTCCTCTGCGACCTTCTGGGCTAAAGGACCATAAGAGAAGTTTGTTCCTTGTCCACACAGCCTTCCGTGGCTCTTTCCATCCCGCCTTTCCGGCCCCAATGTGCGATCTCCAAAGTAGGGAAGGCTTTTTACGAGAATAATATCGGTAACCTCCTGCCCAATTGTCACAAACCACCCCTGTAGAGCTAAGAGATTGTTTTTGTTTTGAACCGACTGCAGGACTTGGGTTTGGCGAGTCTAAAGAAAAGAAGAAAAAGGGGAGACATGATAGCAGTGTTCCAGTATTTGGGGGGCTGCTACAAAGAGGAGGGGGTCCACCTATTCTCCAAAGCACCAGAGGGCAGGAGAAGAAGCAACGGATGGAAACTCATCGAAGAGAGAAGCAACCTGGAATCAAGGAAAAACTCCCTAACAGGGAGGACAATCAGCCAGTGGAACAGCTTGCCACCAGAAATTGTGGACACTTCATCAGTTTTTTAAGAAGAGACTATATAGTCACTTGTCTGAAATGTTATAGGTTCTCCTGCTCGAGCAGGGGGCTGGACTAGAAGACCTCCAAGGTCCCTTCCAGCTCTATTCTATTCTAAAAACAGGTCATTTTTGACAAAACCAACAGGGCAGCAGTGAAACGTTTTTCTTGGAGGACAACGGTGCACAACATGGAGACCCTGACAAAAATGTCCCAGCACATTTACAGAGAAAACCTAAACTTCCCTGGGCTGTCAGACTTCAGGAAAGCAGGGTGAGGGGAGCTTCTACAGCCCCTCCGCCTCTTACAGAGCCCAGGAATTGGGCCCTCCGGATCTGCAGCCCCCAGGTTTGCATCCCAGGCCTTCCCCTCCCTCCTTTGGCCTGAATGGACACATGGCAATGCTCAGAAGTGGATGCCCATTGCCTAGAGGGTATCCCACTCCCCACTCAGACTGGGAATTTGGAGAAAGGAAAGGAAAGGAAAGAAAGAAAGAAAGAAAGAAGGAAGGAAGGAAGGAAGGAAGGAAGGAAGGAAGGAAGGAAGAAAGAAAGAAAGAAAGAAAGAAAGAAAGAAAGAAAGAAAGAAAGAAAGAAAGAAAGAAAGATGCCAGGCAGAGAATATGAAAGAGAGAGAGAGAGAGAGATGATAGATGGATGAATAGATAGATAGTAGAGGTAGCTAGATGATAAAGAGAAAGAAAGAAAGAGAGGAGAAAGAAAGAAAGAAAGAAAGAAAGAAAGAAAGAAAGAAAGAAAGAAAGAAAGAAAGAAAGAAAGATGACAGGCAGAGAACATGGAAGAGAGAGAAAGAAAGAGTGAATGAGTGAGAAAGAGAGAGAGAGAGAACAGTGGAAATGTCATTCCTTGGGTCTCCAAGAGCCTCCTCTGATGTTTTCAAGGGGGGAGTTGATGCTCAACCAATCGGAAATAAACCACTTACGGTTTTCGTGCTTGAGCTTTGGACTCCTCAGGCCCACCGCCATGGTGGTCCCCAGCCTCTTCATCGACTCCTCGAGCGGATGGGGGGGTTTGCTGACCAATGCCGCATCTGTGGGGTGGGCAAAGCAGGGACAGGAGGGTTCCAGCTACCCCAGTTCAACCTCTTAGCTAGTAACCCTATGTTTAAACACCGACATGACAGCCCCATCTGTGGCACACCTGAAATCCTCTCCCCCCCCCCCGAGAAAGAGCCGGGGGAGTTTTAGAGGGAAGGTTGTGCAGAGACCCAAGTTTTGGACTTTGGTGAGAGCTTTGGGTGGAAAAAGGAAGGGTTTGGGAGAGAAATGGGGGAGCAGCTGATGGCCGCGCCAAGGCAGGCGTTATTCTACCTCTGGGACACCCGTCATCCAGGAGAAAACAAATCTCTCTGAAAAGGGGGGTATGAGCAAAAATGCACTTCTGGGGGGGGGTCCCATAGCTCTGTGGAGAGCCGTACAGGCCCCCAAATGTGTCCAAGGAAGTTGAAATGTCGAATGGGATACAAAGGGAAGGTTATTCAGGGCAAGCCTGGAGAATCACCAAGTACATCAACACTGTTCGGTCAGTGCAATGACAAGAACACACCCGCTGTTTTCTTTCTTTCGGGGGACATTCCGGCTCTGTCCATTTCTCTTCCACCAAAGAAAGATTTGGCTCATGCCCAACAGCGTCTTGCCTTCAGCGGCTTCTTGCATACCTTTTTCCTGAGATCTGGGACTCTCTCTGGGCCTTTCCTGGGAGGCCAGCAGAGTCCGTGGGAAGACGCGGACAGATCTGGCTACAAGGGGACCTGAAATCAAGCCGACTACAAGATCGGAGCTTAAATCGGATCCTTTTTGCACGTCCGGTGGGTGAAGAGTGAACTCCGGGCCATTTTTCCCCCTTTTCCTCTCTGTCTTGGGGGTGGGTGGGATTTAGGCCAAGGTGGTCTCACCCAGCGACCAAACCTGGAAGGAGGCTGGTGTCTCATGGTCAGTCACAGGTCAACGCTCGTCTTCCACATCTCTGAAGACTTGGGCTGATGGGGCTGAGAGAAGCCACCCCCTATTGAACAAAGCCCTTCGTTCACCCTCCCCCAATTTTCTGGCCACACGTCCCATGAATTGTTCACGAGACGGGGGCGGGTGAGGCCCCCTTCCCCCTTCCACCAGCTTGTGGCCAACAAAAGGCAGAAGGACAGGTCAGCGGATCAAGCAGGACTTACACAGGTAGCTGACCACCGTCAGGACCACAAGGCAGACAGTGGCCAAGGAGGCGAGCAGAATCCACAGGACGGTGGAAGAAATATTGCCGAAGGGATTCATCTGGGTTTTCTTCTCGCCTCCAGGAGCAATGATCGAAACTTGGCTTTTGGCCGGCCGGGGTCCCATGGCTTCAGGGCAGGAAGCAGAGAGGAGAGGAAGGCGGTGAAGAGACCCGGCGGCCATCATCGCCCGGAGCTAAAGCAGCCGCCAGTCCGAGGAACATTTCGCCCGGAATCACCCGTGTGTGAGTTGGCCGGCCATATACATTTGTTTAATAAATAAATGAAGGAATGGATGGATAGTCAGGCTCCTCCTGCATTTGGTCCTCTGCAGGCAGGAGGACTTGGGGGGGTGATGGGGGTGAATTTTGGTGCGGCAACACCTCCAAGAAAACACACACACAACCTTTGCAAGAAGGAGATCTTCAGGGTCTGGATAACGCTTTGGGAATGTTTAAGAAACGCCTTCAGACTTTTCTGAAAAGGGGGATCCCTCAACACCCAGGGGTCAACATCAGAGATGAATCTGGGTTGACTCAGAATGGCAAGGCGGTGGGGAGAGGGGCCACGGAGATCATGTAGTCCAACCCCCTGCCCAGCCCAGGAGTCCACTCCTCCATATCCCTGACAGAGGGCTGTCCATAACAAACCTTTTGTTTGGGATCCCCTTTAGGAGACTCTGGATCCCACTCAAGGTGTTCCCTTGCTCATCTTCTGAGCCTGTTTTCAACTCCTACAAGGTTCCTCCTCCTGTTTTCTCCTTGCCCTTTGATGCCACTTTTAGCGCCGCTCTCCTTTTCCTCATCCTCCACGGCTCAAACCGCCTGCTAGTTGGCTGCTGGGGCCCCTCGCCAGATCCACAGCCACCAGCACACCTGCAGCCGGAAGGGGAAGGGGCATTGTGACATCACGGGGGCCTTGCCCTGAGAAACGGCCCCTGGACCTCTTCTGAGAAGAGGCCACCGCTTTGCTCGTGGCTCCGCTGGCACGGGTGAAGGCGTCCCATCAAAAGAGAACTGGTCAGGCACAAGTAACCAGATCCACACGTGGCAGGATCCAATTGACCGCTTCATTGTGTTCCACCTATAGTACAGGAATCTCTCCAGAGTATCTGCCTTCCCTTGGGAACAAACAGACAAGTTTCCATGGAACCTCGGGATGATCAGTCTGAAGTCTCTTGTGACTGCGTGAGGACTCTAAGCTAGCTCCTCACTTAACCCCCCCTTTCTTTGCCTGGCTGGGCGTTTCTCAACAGAAAGTCAACAGAGCCCCTCTTTGGTGTGGTGGTCTCCTTTGCCCCAAGAAGCTGTCTGTGCTGGTGGGCAACTAAATTAGCTCTGGCAGGGAGGGGGGCCTTTCTCAGGCCAACGGCCAGGGTCACCGTCCCAAATCTGGTGCTGTGTGGATGCGTGCATTTTACAGCATTCTCCAACATGCATGTTGAGGCTAGTGGGCTGAGCCCCCCTCCCCCAGGAGGCCTGTGCGCAAAACAGGGACAGATTCCATCAACAGACACTTGATGTTCAACCAGCCTACAAACCCCTCAGAATTCAAATCTGCCGCACAGCCAACCAGCAATGGCCCCAGCCCCCAACCAGCACCTCACCTCCCAATGACGCTCACCTGGCGTGACCTCCCCATCACAAGACCCACCCCCTGAAGATGTTTCCTAGCCTGATAACAAAACGTTCAGGAACCACCCACAAGCTCGGAGGATGAACCTCCATCCTCGTACAGCAGGGGTGTCAAACTCGTCACATCACGTGATGTGTCGTGACATGACTTTTTTTCCATTGCCGGAGCTGGGGTGGGTGTGGTTTCGGCATGATGCATCCGGTCCCTGGGCCGGCAGTTTGACACCCCTGCCGTACGGAGTCCAATCCGCAAAGCGCATTCTTGCCTTATCAGATTCACCAAATAAGCCATTTGTGCTGGACAGGCGCCACTAATGGTTTATACAAACACTGGTTAGGTCGCTGCTGATGCTCTTAAGAAGCAGACCCAATGGGGGAGCTTCACAGTGGAGGTAGTTAACTAATTAAAATTCAACGCCACCTTCCCCCCCCTTCCCTTTGCGTCCGGCTCCTTTCTTTCCCATCTTGTCTCCTGATTTTGTTTGTTAATGTTTTTATTTGCTGTGTTTTTATAATGGGTGATTTTAAGTTTTTTTTCATTGGATGTGACACAGGGGGCAAAAATTTTGGAAGGAAGGAAGGAAGGAAGGAAGGAAGGAAGGAAGGAAGGAAGGAAGGAAGGAAGGAAGGAAGGAAGGAAGGAAGGAAGGAAGGAGGGTGGGAAGGAAGGAGGGAAGGAAGGAAGGAAGCAGGGAAGGGAAGGGAAGGAAAGGTTAAATACCAGAACTTAAACCTCAGGTGAGTGGGAGAGAAAGGCAATGTCAAATGAGCTTTGAGGATGCTCCAGAAATGGGAATACAGCCAACATGTCCCTTCCCAACTCCGCACCACCCAGGAAGAATTAAAACAGTTAGAAAATGCTCTTTTTTCTATAGTTATAAAATCCATTGCTTCCTTTAAGTAGTGAAATTGACTTCTCACCAATGATAAATGATTGGTCACCTGCCTTAACCATCATGACCAATATAACTGGCCAGGAAGAACAAGGGGGGAATATCCCTCACCCCTTCCTAAACCCATTCACCTTCTCTAGTTCCACAAAAGTAAAGAATGGAGCCAGTTGTGGCAGTGGTTTAGACAGGGGTCCCCAACCCTTGGACCATGGCTTGATACTGGGCTGTGGCGGGTTCGGAACCAGGCCGCAGAAGCGGCAGGCGAGCACGCACATTCCACGTGTGCGAGCGATGGGCAGCAGGAGTGAAGCAGAGTTTCATGCACACGGGAGTGCACGCCGCTTGCACACATAGAGCTGCATGCACAAACGCACACACCTGCCACTTGCACAAACCATGTCCTCTCCTCCCCCTGCTGATCCGCAAAGCTGGAAAAGTTGGAGACCACTTTGTTTAGGCTCCGAACAAGAACTGGGGAAATGTGAGGTCCCGTCCACTCTCGCACAGAAACCAGCTGGGTGAATTTGGGCCGGTCCCCCCTCCCTTTCTCTCTCAACCCAGCCCACCTCATAGGGATGGGACGTTGGGATGAAAAGGGGGAGGAAACAGATTGCCACTTTCAGCTAGGGGCAAAGTTCAAGTCAAGATGCATTTGGCTCAAGACAACCGAAGGTGCTTCCAGGTTCTCCTCCACTAGCTTGCATGGAAAAGCTCCACAGCCACCAAACAGGATCCCACGCAGGCTTTCAAGAGGGCCTCCATTCCATGCTGGGCTTGACTCTTCCAGAGGCCCTCCAGGTGTGTCCCACCGGATGTCCCTTATTGTCCTCAGCTCTCCAGTGAACCAAGAGGTTGGCTGACTCAATGAAAGGAAGGAGACTTCTCAGGAGCTTGACTGTCTACTGTATCTTCTCCCTGGAGCACTGAGAACTTAATTGGCATTAATTGATGAGCAGGTTTAGCGCCTTGGGTACCCTGGAACCTAAAAGGAAGAAGCCAGCAGATGGCATGTTCTCCACCCCGTGCCAGCCAGGTTGCACGTTCTCTCTAGCCAGTTGTTCACCTTCCACCTAGGCCAGGGGTAGGCAACCTTGGCTCGTTTATGACTCGTAGACTTCAACTCCCAGAATTCCTGAGCCAGCACGGCTCAGTTTGGAAACCTCTCCCTTTTCCCTCAGCGTGGCTGGCTCAGGAATTCTGGGAGTTGAAGTCCACGAGTCATAAAAGAGCCAAGGTTGCCTACCCCTGACCTAGGCCATCTCCCATTCTCTCTGCCATTCTCTCCTACCTGCCTTTTCATCACCTAACATCAGGTTCCAACAGAACCAGCAGTCCAGAGCCTAAACACCAACAGCATAGACCATGGTGGGATACCTTTGGCTCCCCTCCCCCTTTTTTGCTGAGAAGATAACATCAAAGGATTGTGTAGAGCAGGGGTGTCAAACTGCCGGCCCATAGGCCAGACACATCACACAGAAGCCGCGCCCACCCCATTGCCAGCAATGGCAAAATAGTCCCGATACATTGCGCGGCGTCACGTGTCTGGTGTAGAGAGAGATCCCCAACCTTTTGAGCACCAGGGACCAGTTCTGTGGAGAGAGGTTTTTCCACAGACCAAAGAGGGCATGGTTTTGTGTGCTACCTGTATCCCACGGATGGGGCTTTGCTTGTTTGTGTGGCACAGTTGCTGGTATGCCACGGCCCAGTACTGGTCCATGGACTGGGGGTTGGGCACCCCTGGTGTAGACCCTGGCATGCTTTGCAGAATGGAAAGTGTTCCAGTTTATGTACTGGGATGTCTCAAACACGATCTCTTGAAGGAGAAGACCTTCCTTCTGCAGATGATTGGAGATGAGAAGGTCCAAGTGATGCCCAAAACATGACACCCAGATGCCTAGATGCCTACCACAATGCACACAAGGTGCATCCTTTTGTCTAATGACTGGGACAGGAAAGCTTGGGCTCACATCAAGATGATGCTCAGCATTAAATGAATACATTGGGTTAGGTCCACCTATGACCCATAAGTTAGTCAATCGCATTTCAGTCTGTCTGGAGGAACCCGGTACACAGCCCATTTGTGCTATGAATCAGGACCAGTTCAGGTTGCTTTGGGCAGCGTGTCTTGAAAACATGCGTGATGCTTAGGAGGTGGTTGAACGAGGTCCGGCCTTGGTTGCAGAGCTTATATATGACATCAGCCTTGCGGCTATTCTTTTCTTCCAGGAGGCAAGGACAAGAAGAGAGCTTTCATTATTTTACTGTTTCAGATGGAGAAAAACAAAAACTGTGTTCACATCTAGGGTGGCTTCAAGTATTAGGGTTGGCTTAAATATTCTAAATCTTCCATCACTATGATCTCCTTACAAACCCATTGCTTAAGTGTGTGGCAATTGTCATCCTTCCAGTTAAATACGCCAGAGGAAGGGCTTATGTAAGCGCAGTCTCGCTCCATTTCTCCATTCTTCTTCAGGATGGTAGGACTCCCAACATCCCAGAACCTGGGAGAAAGAAAGGAGAGTGTAAGACCTAGCTTCACGCAGAGGGTAGAACAGGAGTCCTCAATCCCCCAGGGCCGCGACCCGTTTAGAATCGGGCCACAGAAGTGATGGGCAAGCGTGCATGCGCAGCTCCACTTGCATGCCCGTGGAAAGCCCGCCACTTGCACAAATGGAGATGTCAACGCTGCTAACATTGGATGTTCTTGGTTTGACAACATTTGGAGATGCAGCCATTTTCCTTCGTATGTGTTACTCTTAGAATTAGAGTTAGAATTAGATGATACTGGGGGGGGGAGGGGAAGGAATTTGTATGGGAGTTAGTTAGACATAACAATATTATAATAGTGTGAGAACCAAGGTTTTTTGAAATATGAGATGATAAGAAATGGAGGGTTGGAGAACAGGAGGGAAAGCCTGCATTTCAAGCTAATTGGGGAATGTGATTTATGACTGTTAATTGGAGGAGGGGATTGTGCTTTGTTATTATGTGCTCAGGGGAGGGGAATTCAGACTTTGCCTTCGATTATTGTTAGTGCCGATGCTATGCTACTCAATAAATATTCTTTTACATAAACAATGCCTCGAAGTTCTTCGAAGAGTTTCATTTGTCGGAACCATGACATTACGCCAAAATCTGAATTCCCCTCCCGTGAGGATATAGTATCAAGCACAATTCATCCCAAAATTTCCATGGGTAAGTAAGACAGTTGTTAAGTAAATTTTACCCCATTTTTTTTCTTTCCCAGTTGTTAAGTGAATCACTCCAGTTGTTAACTTAGTCATGGGGTTGTTAAGTGAATCTGGCTTCCCCATTGCTTGTCAGAACATCATCAAAGAGGATCATGTGACCATGGGACGTTGCAACCATCATAAATACAAATCAGTTGCCAAGCGTCTGTATTTTGATCACGTGACCGCGGGGATGCTGCAACGGTCATAAGTGTGAAAAATGGTCATGAGTCCCATTTTTCGGACCTGTTGTAACTTCAAACGGTCACTAAATGAACTGTTGTTAAGTCAAGGACTACCTGTACTGCGATTTTAATCTTTTCCGTATGGTAGGAAACTGCAGCTCTGACTTACACGGCAAGCAGCCTTACTTGAAGAGTGCCGCCAAAAGAGCCCACAAAACTGTGTTTCCTCTCCATCTAGTCTGCCTCAAATTGTTGGAGAGAGGCTGTGTTGCCAGTCAGGAGGAGGAGTCAAGTGCAGGACCTGTCTGGAATCCCTACATAGACACAAAGGGCAAGGTCCAACCCTCCTTGAATACCATTGAACCTTATCTAGTCTTAAGCGGTCTGAGAAGATGCCTGAGAAGTACGCAAGAGAAGAATTACTACTACTACAGTCGTGTTGAGAACACCGAAGCACTTCCAGGTGGACATCACTGTTGCTCAAGGGACGCCCAGTTGGGGGCTCCTTTCATGTCCCCATTAAATCGCCACTAAGGTGGTACCCATCTATCTACTCGCGGCCGCCCACTTTTGAACGGCTGGGTTGGCAGGAGCAGAAGCTCATCCCGGATCGCGGCAGCAACAGAGTTTCAAACGCGAGCCTGCCACTCGCCAGCCCAGCGTCCTAACTTCATAAGCCACCGCACTCTTCCAATAAAGTAGCTCGTTTGAACCCTTCCCGTGTGGCCCTGATTGTTCACGCCTGACACAGGTTTAGTGATCCGCTGCAGGAAGCCCCAGGGGTGGAGTGTGTGGTTGCAGACTCACTGTATTGTTAATCTGGACCCATCGGACCACTGCCAGATGCCCTCATCATTTTCATCGCTTAGACCAATCCAGGCAGACTCATTGAACTGCAAAGAGACGAACTTCTGCCAAAAAAGGAGAGAAGGAGCAGCTTCACAGGGTGGGAATGCCACGTTTGACAAAATGCCCAAAATTAACAATAAGCTGCTCATATTCCTTTGCCAAAAAAAGCCGTGAGGAGGAATCAATATTTGTACATCCAGCAGGAACAAACTGGACTTTTTGAAATCATCTCTATAGAATGCGCGCTCTCTCTCTCTCTCTCTCTCTCTCTCTCTCTCTCTCTCCCTCCCTCCCTCCCTCCCTCCCTTCCCTCTCCTCTCTCTCTCTCTCTCTCTCTCTCTCTCCCTCCTCTCTCTCTCTCTCTCTCTCTCCTCTCCCTCTCTCTCTCTCTCTCTCTCTCTCTCTCTCTCTCTCTCTCTCTCTTTCTTTCTCTGTGAAAGAGATTGAGGTCAAGCATGAGAGAACATAGTGCTCCTTCATTGGTAACATAGTCCTCATTTAGTGTTCACAACTGACGCCAGCAATTCAATCACTTATCAAAGTGGTTGTTAAGTAGGAAACCACGTGACCATGATTGTGCCTTTTGGCTTGAAACTGAAAAGAGTAACGATCAGTTTCACATCTTTGGCTTACGTTCACCTCCTAATCGCTCTCTGGCCTTTTGAAATGCTCGCTACAGTTCTGGACCATTAACAAGAAGGGAATTAATGTTTGTAGATACATTCATTGCAGAGAAAGGGATTAGAAGAGAGTAAGCAGGCCCACAATGGGAATACTGGATACACTGAAAGCAATGTGCTCGTGCTGACCATGGCAAACATGGCTGGCTGCTTACTGGGTGTCTGCTTACTCTTTTCTAATTTCTTCATCTTCAATCTCTCCACTCAGGGGATGGGGGGGGGGGGAATGGAAGGGAAAATGTGTGAGACACAGAACATAAAAGCAAACTAATTGGAATGGTGATCATGTGACTGAGGAATCATGCAATTGTTGTGAACGGTTGTAAATTGGTTATAAAGTTATTTCTTCAGCACTGACATCTCTTCAACCAATTGCTGGAGATTGGTAAGCAAGGACAAATTGAATAGTGATGTAGATAGAGAGGAAGGGAACGGGCATTAATAGAAAGCAATTGTCCCTTTTTCCGATCTTTCAGTAGGCACATCCTATGTACTAAACTTTGACAATTTCAATTCAAGAATAGAGCTGGAAGGGACCTTGGAGGTCTTCTAATCCAACCCCCTGCTCAAGCAGGTGACCCTAGACCAGGGGTAGGGAACCTTGGCTCTTTTATGACTTGTGGACTTCAACTCCCAGAATTCTGAGTCAGCATGGCTGGTTCAGGAATTCTGGGTATTGAAGTCCACAAGTCATAAAAGAGCTAAGGTTGCCTACCCCTGCCCTAGACCATTTCAGACAGATGGCTATCCAATCTCTTCTTAAAAACCTCCAGTCATGGAGCATCCGCAACATCTAGAGACAAGACGTTCCACTGGTTAATTGTTCTCACTATTAGGAAGTTTCTCATTAATTACAGGTTGCTTTTCTTTTTGATTAGTTTCCATCGTTTCTTGTCCCACGTCCTGCTGCTTTGGAAAATAAGTGGACCCTCTCCTCTTCTTTGTGGCAGCCCCTCAAATACTGGAACACTGCCATCCTGTCACCCCTATTTCTTCTTTTCTCGAGACTAGACACACCCAAATCCTGCAACCGTTCTTTGTATATTTTAGTCTCTAGGCCTTCAGATCACCTTAGTTCTTCTTCTCTGTACTTTTTCCAAAGTCTTAACATCTTTTTTGCAATGTGGGGACCAAAACTGGATGCGGCATTCCAGGTGTTGCCTTACTAAGGCTTTACAAAGCGGCACTAACACTTCACGTGATTTTGATTCTATGCTCCTGTTTATACAATTAACCAGTGGATCAACCTGCCTCCAAAAGCGGTGAATGCTCCAACACTGGAAGTTTTAAAGAAGAGACAGGACCGCCATTTGTCTGAAATAGTATAGGGTTTCCTGCCTGAGCAGGGGGTTGGACTAGATGACCTCCAAGGTCCCTTCCAACTTTACTATTATTATTATTATTATACCACCAAGGATTGTATTATTCTGAATTCTAAATTCCCCGTTCTGATCTTCTAATTGAAAAGCCTCCATAATTTGCCATGGATAACTCGGGTCATACTTTTGGAAGACTTCAAATTCCTCGAAGGAGCTTCAGTGTCTAGGCAGGGACATGGAACCTCAGTTGAAAGGGATCTTAGAGTCATCTAGAGCAGGGGTGGGCAACCTTGGCTCTTTTATGACTCGTGGACTTCAACTCCCAGAATTCTTGAGCCAGCCATGCTGAGGGGAAAGGGAGAGGTTTCCAAGCTGAGCCAGGCTGGCTCAGGAATTCTGGGAGTTGAAGTCCATGAGTCATAAAGCGGCCTAGGCCAGAGGCAGGCAACCTTGGCTCTTTTATGACTCGTGGACTTCAACTCCCAGAATTCCTGAGCCAGCCGTGCTGAGGGGAAAGGGAGAGGTTTCCAAGCTGAGCCATGCTGGCTCAGGAATTCTGGGAGTTGAAGTCCACGAGTCATAAAAGAGCCACGGTTGCCTACCCCTGGGCTAGGTCAACCCCCTTCTCAAGACCTATCTCACCATCATCCTTTTCTCCAGGAAAAACAAAAGCCACCATTACAGGTGGGCAGCCTGTTCTGATGGGACTGCATCTATCCTGACCATATTTCTCCACAGATAGGAAGGGCTGAGTCAGTCCTTGCAAATCGTTTGCCCAGAGACGTGAATGCAAAATCCCGGGGGATTTAATACAGTTGAGGCAGCTGCTCAAGAAACTCTAGAGGTGAGTCAGAAAAGGGGGGGGAAAAAACAACGAATGAAACCTGTTCCTCGTCATTTAAGATGGAGACCATGTGGGAATCTCTGGAGAGGCAGAAGTTCTGAGCGTCGTACCAGGTCTTTCTACCGATCGATATGTAGTAGAGGTTCTTCCCAAAAAGCGTCCAGTGAGTGGCAGCCTTTACCGAGCCTTTCTTAAAGATGGATTCTAAGGAAAAGCAGAGATGGGAAAGGATGGCTGGCATCCACGTCACACAATCAGTGTGTTCTTCAGCAGAGGGGAGGGGAGGAGGAGAGGGGAGGAGGAGAGAGGGGAGGGGAGGGGAGGAGTGGGAAGGAGAGGAGAGGGGTGGAGAAGGGAGGGGAGGGGAGGAGGGGGGAGGGGAGGGGAGGAGAGGGAGATGAGAAGAGAGGAGAAGAGAAGGTCGGAGAGGGGAGGGAGAGGAGAGGAGAGGGTAGGAGAGGAGGGGAAGGGAGGAGAGAGGAGGGGAGGACAGGAGAGGAGAGGGAAAGAGAGGAGAGAAGAAGAGAGGGAAAGGAGAGGAGAGGAGAAGAGAGGGTAGGAGAGGAGAGGAGGAGAAGAGAGGGAGAGGAGAAGAGAGGGAGAGGAGAAGAGAGGGTAGGAGAGGATGTCTGCCTGCCTGTTAGTTGTTTTTTAATCTAATCGATGCACACCACCCAGAATCACGTTTGGTGAGGTAGGTGGGCTAAATAAATTAGATAGATAAATGATAGATGATAGCTAAATAGATGATAGACAGATAGGAGAGAGACTTGATTACGATGATAGATATGACAGATAATAGATAATGACGTATAGTAGATAAATGAGAGAGACAGACACAGACTGAGAGAGAAATAGATATACAGATGAGAGAGAGAGAGAGAGAGAGAGAGAGAGAGAGAGAATAGATGGGGGTGGGGCATGTTCAGATTGACCGTGGCCTATTTTTCAGCACATTTTAACTCAGACTCTCTCTGAGCTTTTCCTCCCCTGAGATTAAACACCAATCAAGCCAGGGTCCTTGGCCTGATAAGCTACGTCCCCATTCTGCACCCGCCTCCCCGAGCAAGGGTTGTATCTCTTAGCACGACACCCCCCCCCAGGCTGTGCACTGTCCCACCGTCCTGCTCTGCTCCTCTGGCCTGCCCATCGCTAGAAATTGGAGGGGGGATGAGGATGGGGGGCACTGAGGGAAATTGGTGGAGGGAGCAGGGAGCAGGCAGGGAGTGGGAGGGGGCCCAAGGCTTCCCTGTGACGCTCACGGGGCTCAGCGGGGGCACCCAGGGAACCTTGTTTTGCAGCAAAAGTCATCAAAGCTCATAAGGGCCGGCCAGGGACTGCATCCCCAAGGCTGCTTTGGCATCCTAGGCAGAAACGTGGCTACTTACGATACTTGTTCTTCTTCTCCAGATAAGCCTTTTCTGTATCTTCCTGGTAGTTTGGCAGCTGAATCACCTCCTCCGCAGTGCCCATATCTGAAATAGACAGACAGACTGACAGACTGACAGACATGAGAGAGAGAGAGAGAGAGAGAGAGAGAGAGAGAGAGAGAGAGAGAGAGAGAGGGAGGGAGGGAGGGAGGGAGGGAGGGAGTTAGGGATGATAGGTGATTGATAGATAGCTACAGATGATATATAGATAAAGATAGATAGATAGATAGATAGATAGATAGATAGATAGATAGATAGATAGATAGATAGATAGATAGATAGATAATGATAGGTAGATGATGATAGATAAATAGATAGACAGAGATGGATAGATATGATAGATAGATTAGATAGAAAAGATTAGATAGAAACGGATAAATAGAAATAGATAGATAGATTGATAGATTGATGGATGATAGATAGATAGATAGATAGATAGATAGATAGATAGATAGATAGATAGATAGATAGATAGATAGATAGATGAAGGGAGGAAGGGATGATAGGTGATTGATAACTACAGATGATAGATAGATGTATGATAGATGGTTGATAGATAGATGTTAGATAGATAGATAGATAGATAGATAGATAGATAGATAGATAGATAGATAGATAGATAGATATAGAGAGGGAGGGAGGGAGGGATGATAGGTGATTGATAGCTACAGATGATAGATAGATAGATAGATAGATAGATAGATAGATAGATAGATAGATAGATAGATAGACAGATTCTCACCTGTCTCCAAATGGGGAGCTGAGCCCAGCCCAGGGGACTGGACTCTTCCGTCTCAACTTACCGCTTAGAGCACTGATGGCCGGTTTCCTTAAGGCGTTGGACATGGTCCTCCTAATGGAATTCATGGGTTCTATGTAAGGACTGGGGGGCGCATTAAGCAACTTAATATCTAAAGCGAAGACAGGAGAAAGGAGAAAGAATGCAAAATATTAAGGATTTTATGTACAAATCGACCGAAAAACAGTTTGGGATGTTATGTCACTACATCGGGGTGGGAAGCAACAGCCCTTTTATGAACTGGTGGACTTCCAGAATTCCTGAGTCCGCCATGCTGGAGTGGACACCAAATGAATGGTTGTTAAATTGAGGATTATCAGACTGGGAGAGGTCAACATACATACCGACCCCAAAGAGAGGAAACGCAGCTGATCATGCAGCCATCGTACAGCATCTCTAATTTTCCATGCTACCATCATGCTTATGACATCCAGCACCGATTAGAGCAGGGGTTATCAACCTGTGGGTCGGGACCCCATTTGGGGTCAAACGACCATTTCACGGGGGCCGCCAAGGCTGTCCACCATTTTTTCCCCTTTTCTTTGGTCACACCCCTGGCACCCGGTGATGTATAAGTGGTTGAGGGGGTCACCACAACATGGGGAACTATATCATGGGGTCGCGGCATTAGAAAGATTGAGAACCACTGGTCTATGGGGTTATTATTATTATCATTATTTAATTATTAATAATTATTAATTATCATTATTGCTTTATTAATTATTATTGCTTTATTAATTATTATTAATACTTTATTAATTATTATTGCTTTATTATTAATTATTATTATTACTTTACTATTATTATTAATTTTAGTAGTAGTAGTAGTAGTTGTTGTTGTTAAGCCATCCAGAATCACTGAAAGCGAGTGGGCAGCCATATAAAATTTCTAAACAAATAAAATCTGGACCCCAGGAGTTAAGAGGAGAGAAACGAGATACATCCCTCCTCGCCCTGATGGTGCTGCACATTACTATACAACTGCCAGGTTTTGCACCTGTACGTAAGAAAGCGGCGCTGAACTATGCCCTTCCCAGCCACAACTCTCATGGCTACTTCATCCCTTCCTCCCCAGAGAGAGGTGGGGGGGTGGGGGGAGAGAACTATCTGCAGCCCTAGAAGCTCTCCCCAAGCCTTTCGTTTCCTTGGGGCTGGCCGAGTTGCAAGCCAAGCCATCTCTGCAAAAACAAAAACACTCTCCCCTGTCTGCCCCCCCCCCACTCCTCCATTTAATAACTTGGGCCCCGTCTTGCTCTGCCTGGCTTGTCAGAACCATGGTCAGATAGGTAGGTAGGTAGGTAAGCAGGCAGGCAGGCAGGCAAACAGACAGACAGAGAAGACAACACAAGGCAACACAAGTCAACACAAGACAAACATGGATGGATGGATGATGCATGGATGGATGGATGGATGGATGATTGGTGGAGAGAAAGATAGACAGACAGATACAGACAAACAGATATGGATGGATGATAGATAGGTGGATAGATAGGTAGGTAGGCAGGCAGGCAGGCAAGCAGGCAGGCAGGCAGGCAGGCAGGCAAGCAGACAAGACAAGATAGACAAGACAGACATGGATGGATGGATGGATGGATGGATGGATGATAGGTGGAGAGAAAGATAGACAGATATGGATAGATGATAGATAGGTGGATAGATGTATGTATGTATGTATCGATGGATGGATGGATAGATAGATAGATAGATAGATAGATAGATAGATAGATAGATAGATAGATAGTTGGATAGATAGGTATGTAGGTACATAGGTAGGTAGGCAGGCAGGCAGGCAGACAGACAAGACAAGACAGGGATGGATAGATGGATGGATGATAGGTGGAGAGAAAGATAGATACAAACAGATATGGATGGATGATAGATAGTAGCTAGATAGATAGACAGACAGACAGACAGAGAGATAGATAGTTGGATAGATAGGTATGTAGGTACATAGGTAGGCAGGCAGGCAGGCAGGCAGACAGACAAGACAAGACAGGGATGGATAGATGGATGGATGATAGGTGGAGAGAAAGATAGATACAGACAAACAGATATGGATGGATGATAGATAGTAGCTAGATAGATAGACAGACAGACAGACAGACAGAGAGATAGATAGTTGGATAGATAGGTATGTAGGTACATAGGTAGGCAGGCAGGCAGACAGACAAGAGAAAGACAGGGATGGATAGATGGATGGATGGATGGATGATAGGTGGAGAGAAAGATAGATACAGACAAACAGATATGGATGGATGATAGATAGTAGATAGATAGATAGATAGATAGATAGATAGATAGATAGATAGATAGATAGATAGATAGATAGATAGACAGACAGACAGATGGATAACCTTTATTGTCATTTTTTTTACTGTGGGCACAATGGCACACATTAAGAATGAAATTTAGTTGCTTGCTCTCAAAGTGTACACATACATAACACACATTTAAATATACTTTATACAACATATGAATAGACCCTACACCATTACATATCAGTAACATATAAATATTAATCCCTGCCCATCTTGAATACATTACGGAAGGAGGAAGCTTTAGAGTTCACAAGGTTGATGCTCTATGGAACAAAACTGTGGCTGAATCTGGGTGTTCTGCTTCAGAGACCACGAAGCCCCCTCCTCCCGGAAGGTAACAAGAAAAACAGATCGTGGAGAGGACGTGTAGCGTGTCAGAGAGTCCTGCAGACCCTGCTCAAGCATTGCTTCTATGCCATGTCCTGGATGGATGGAAGGGAGGGAACTGACAATAATCTTTTCTGCTGTCCTCACCACTCTCTGCACCGCCTTCCTGTCCGAAGCAGGGGTGCTTCCAAACCAGACTGTGAGCCCTCCAATTGATCAGAAAGTGCAGACCCTATAAAAAAAAAATTGCACCGCACGCTGCCCACCCCACAGCACCCTGCGATCGCCCCCGCCCATCGCACGCTGGGGTCTATTTGTCCGGTGCAACCAAAGGCCTGGGTCAAACAATGCCTGGGTAAATGAGCAAGGACGAAGGACCAGGGGCCGTGGAGAATGGCCGGGGAAGGGCCAGTGGAGGAGGAAAGCTGGCTGTAAATCGGCAGTGGCTGGGGGCGAAGGGGATGCATCCAGGGCTGGGAGCCTAAACGTCCCATTCTGGACAGGGAGGCGTCTGTTTGAATTACCGGTAGCCCTCAAATTACAACAGTTCATTTAGTGACCAAAGTTACAAGGGCGCTGGGAAAAAAAGGCAGCTTCTGACCGTTTTACACGCTTACAAGCGTTGCAGCGTCCCCACAGCCACATGATCAAAATCCGGACGCTCGGCAATTGGCATGTACTTATTTATTTATTTATTTATGAGACTTATATACCGCTTTTAAGTGCAAGCACTCTCTAAGCGGTGTACACCAGTAAGCAATGTATATATATATATATTTATATTGCCCCCAACAATCTGGGTCCTCATTTTACCTACCCCGGAAGGATGGAAGGCTGAGTCAACCTTGAGCCGGTGAGATTTGAACCACTGACCTGCTGAACACAGTCAGCTAAAGTGGCCTGCAGTACTGCACTCTAACTGCTGCACCACCTCGGCTCTAATGAGGGTTTCTGTGTCCCGGGGACACATGACTCCCTTTTTTGTCACCTTCTGAAAGGCAAAGTCAACGGGGAAGCTGGGTTCACTTAACCACCATGTGACTCACTTAACAACTGCAATGAAGGTCATTAAATGGGGCAAGATTCAGCCAATGGGTCACTTAGTAAGGCAAATTTTGGGCTCAGTGGTGGTTGCAAGTACTCAGGCTTTTTGATTGACCCCCTCCCTCAAATCTCATTGATAAGGCTGTTTATCAAGAGGGCTGCTAAACAAAGAAGGTCAGAGATGTAAAACCAGGCTGGAAGGAGGCATCAAATGTGGACTTAGCTTAGAGTCCTTACGCAGCCACAAAAGGCGTCACCTTGTTCAATGAAAGCTTATCTGGTTGTTCCCGGGAGAATGCAGAATAACAGACTTGGAAGGGACCTTGGAGGTCTTCTAGTCCAACCCCCTGCGCTCTCTCTCTCTCCCCCCCCATTAAAAACCACAACTCACAAGCAAGGGGAACCTCCTGTTTTCATGCAAAAACCAGGATGAGTTGGAAGGGATCTTGGAAGTCTTCTAGTCTGACCCCCCCCCCGCTCAAGTAGGGGACGGTATACCATTTCAGACAAATAACAGTCCAATCGCTCCTTAAAAACCTCCGATGATGGACAGCCCACAACTTCTGGAGGCAATGAACAACTCCATTGGTTGATTGTCTTCACTGTTAGGAAGTTTCTCCTTAATTCCAAGTTGCTTCTCTCCTTGATGGGTTTCCACCGTTTCTTGTCTTGCTTTACGACCACAATAGAGCCCCACATTTCTGTCACTAAGTGAAATGTTCGTTACGTGAGTTTTGCCCCACTTTATGACCTCCCTTGCCACAGGTGCTGTGGTTGTTAAGTGAATCTGGCTTCTGCTGATCAGGTTACAAAAAGTGACCCCGGGACATGGCGACCATCATAAGTACGAGTCAGTCGCCAAGCGTCTGAATGTTGATCACGTGACCACGGGGATGCCGCAACCGTCGTTAAGTGTGGAAAAACGGTCATTACTGCCGTGGTACTTTTGAACGGTCCCTAAATAGACTGTTGTAGGCCGAGGACGACCTGCAGAGAACTTACAGGCAACCGTCGCTGCGATGAAGACGACGAAGCAGAAGACTCCAAACAGTCTGATCACCCGCCATTTCACCTCTGGGGGAATCGCTTTGAATTTGGGCACGTGGATCACTTCCTCGCCTTCGGCTGGAGGCGGAGGAGGCGGTGGCGCAGCTGGTTTTTTCGGGGCCATGGCTGGGGAGAAAAGGAGGAGGAGGAGGAGGAGGGGGAGAGGAGGAAAAGAAGGAGAAGAGAGAAGGAGGAAAAGGAGAAGGAGAAGGAGGAGGAGAAGGAGACGGAGAGGAGGAGGAGGAGGAGAAGGAGACGGAGAGGAGGAGGAAAAGGAGAAGGAGGAGGCGAAGGAGGAGAAGGAGACGGAGAGGAGGAGGAGGAAAAGGAGAAGGAGGAGGAAAAGGAGAGGAGGAGGAAAAGGAGAAGGAGGAGGAGAAGAGAGGAGGAAAAGAAGGAGAAGAAGAAGAAGAGGAGAAGGAGGAGGAAGAGGAGGAAAAGAAGGAGGAGGAGGAAGAAGAGGAGGTGGAAAAGAAGGAGAAGGAGGAGAAGAAGACACGGTCACAAAGAAGGCTGAGCAAGAGACAGTCAACCCGCTCCCTCCAGGCCCCCCCCTCCCCCCGCCCAGCCGGCTCCCTCTCAGTCCAGGCCTTCCTGCATTTTGGGAAAACATCTGGGCAGGTGGGATGCTGGCACATGCTGGGGGGCAGCAGGGAATCAAAAGGAAGGGGCCGCGCTGACCCCCTGGACCAGTTCTCTCCTGCGGCAGCCCTGGGAATAGCACCAGACAGCCCTGCCTCTGACCCACAATTCGGGAGGTGGAAGGAAGCAGCCCTGAGGAAGACGCAAGCAAGAACCCGCCTTCTGATCCACCCACCTGCCTTCTGGCCCTAGAGAGCAGGGCAGGCAGTCTGCCTCAGGGGTCTTGTAGTCCAACCCCCCCCCCCCCGCTTCTGAAGCGGGTGACCCGCCAGGACCATTCCGGACAAACGTCGTCCAGTCCCTTCTTAAAAGCCTTCAGTGTTGAGTTCTCACGGTTAAGAAATTTCTCTATTAGGAAATATTTGTATATTTCCTGGAAATTTTCTATATGCCTGTTAGATACTGCATTGTATATTATGGGACGGAGGGAGGGAGGAAAGAGAGAGAAAGAGAAAGAGAGAGAGGAAGGAAGGAAGGAAAGGAAGGAAGGAAGAGGGAAGGGAGGGAGGGAGGGAGAGAAGAAAGGAAGAAAGAAAAAGAAAGAAAAAGAAAGAAAGAAAGGGAAGGAAGGAAGGAAAGAAAGGGGAGGAAGGAAGGAAAGAGGGAAGGAAAGAAAAAAAGGGAACAAAGGAAGGAAAGAAGGAAAGAGAAAGAAAGAAAGAGGAGAGGGAGGAAGGACGGAAGGAAGGAAAGAAAGAAAAAGGAAAGAAAGAAAGGGAAGGAAGGAAGGACGGAAGGAAGGAAAGAGAAAAAGGAAAGAAAGGGAAGGAAGGAAGGAAAGAAGGAAAGAAAGAAAGAAAGGAAGGAAGGAAGGAAGGAAGGAAGGAAGGAAGGAAGGAAGGAAGGAAGGAAGGAAGGAAGGATAGATGGATCAGCCTTCTGGAGTCAAAAAATGCAGATGACGAACTCCTTTTATGTCTCCTCCACATGGGACACATCAGAGAAGGAAGCAGGGGGTTGACCAGGGGTCTACAGCCACCATCTTGACCCTCACGGACATGCCCGATATGGGTCTCCCCCCTCCATAGGAGGTGGTGGGGAAATGTCTCCAGAAACCATTCAAGGACGAAGCATAAACATCCGCAGGAAGCCCTGCACGCGTGCTCTGAAAGCTACTGAAAACATTTTCCCACCTTCAGCCATCCTCACCACACAGGAAGGAAGATGCCACCACCCCTTGGATGTGGCCAAGCTGCAGCAGGACAACTCCAGAGCCTGCTGGAGAAGACTTGGAGCAGCGCAGAGGGGAGACACCAGCAGGGTCTCCCTCCTGTCCCAAGCATCCACCTTCAAACACAACGAGAAGATTGTGGGACAGGCGCTCCCGGGTCCTGCTGGTTGCTTCGAGGCGAAGCCAGAGAGGGACGTTGGCATTGTAGACCCCGAGGTCATCTCAGTAGACCTTCAGAAGACCGATCCAAGACAGCTGGCTCATCTGTGGCTTGGAGACCAAGACACCCCAGAAGTAGACGCCCAACTGAAGTCAAAGCTGCTACCATATCTTATCTGACTTTGCCGGGGCTTAAAATTGGAAATCTGCTTTTTAAGGATGAAATCCTTCAAGATACCATATAACAGGAGCCTTCAAACTTGGCCCTTTGAAAACTTGTGGACTTCAACTCCCAGAATTCCTCAGCCAGGCACGCTGGCTGAGAAATTCTGGGAGTTGAAGTCCACTCCTCCTAAAGTCTGTATCAGGGGTTTTCAAACTTGGCCCTTTGATGACTCGTGGACTTCAACTCCCAGCTAGCTGAGGAATTCTGGGAGTTGAAGTCCATTCCTCTTAAAGCCTATATCAGGGGTCTTCAAACTTGGCCCTTTGATGACTTGTGGACTTCAACTTCCAGAATTCCTCAGCCAGGGACGCTGGCTGAGGAATTCTGGGAGTTGAAGTCTACTCCTCTTAAGGTCTATATCAGGGGTCTTCAAACTTGGCCCTTTGATGACTCGTGGACTTCAACTTCCAGCATTCCTCAGCCAGGCACGCGTGCCTGGCTGAGGAATTCTGGGAATTGAAGTCCACAAGTCATCAAAGGGCCAGGTTTGAAGACCCCTGCCGTACAAGGTCAAAAACCTTTGGAAATAAGAGATTTTTTTAAAGCCCCCCCCCTCAATTTTTTACCTGCTACTTGTGGTTTCTGTTAAAAGTCCAACGCTATTGTTCACTTATGTTTACTGTCTTCTTCTCCTGTGCTGCTGAATCTTGAGCAAAGTTTTTGTTGGGGATTTTCATTGCTCTCCCCTGCTTCTTCCACCCGCTTGGTCTTCTTGGTAGTCCTCACTTGGGGGGCACCCAACAGCCCTTGACTCAGGCCGCTTGCTGATTGGCTGCTGGGGGTCCTCAGCAAAGCATTCACAATCCCCAGCAAACCTGCAGCTGAAGGGAAAGTGGGATTGTGACCTCATTGGATGGGAGGAGAAGGACACACACACACTGGGTCTTGCATCCAGCTTGGATCACCACGATATTAAAAAAATAAATAAAAAATGTTGAGACTCTACAACAGGGGTGCCGCGGGGCGGTTGCATCGTGCACCACAGCTCCAGCAAAGCAAGAAAAGTTGTGAACATTCACGATACATCATGACATGGCAAATTTGACACCCATGCTCTAGAAAGAGTGCAGAGAAGAGCAACAAAGATGATCAGGGGACTGGAGGCTGAAACATATGAAGAACAATTGCAGGAATTGGGTATGTCTAGTAGTTTAATGAAGAGAAGGACAAGGGGGGACAGGATAGCAGCCTTCCAGTATCTCAGGGGCTGCCCCAAAGAAGAGGGAGTCAAGCTATTCTCCAAAGTCCCTGAAGGCAGGACAAGAAGCAACGGATGGAAACTAATCAAGCAGAGAAGCAACCTGGAACTAAGGAGAAATTTCCTGACAGTGAGAACAATTTGTAAGTGGAACAAGCTGCGTACAGAAATTGATCCTGGGACATGTGTTTGGAAAGGAGAGGGACATTCTCAACTCATAAAAGCAGGTGAACATGAACATTTAACCGTGCAGATATTTTGTGTGTGTGTGTGTATGTGTGTCTGTCTGTCTGCCTATCATCTATCTATCTATCTATCTATCTATCTATCTATCTATCTATCTATCTTCTATCTATCTATCATACCATAGATGATAGATGAGCTGTGATGGCGCAGTGGTGAGAATGCAGTATTGCAGGCTGATTCTGCCCACTGCCAGAAGCCTGACCGGCTCAAAGTTGACTCAGCCTTCCATCCTTCCGAGGTTGGTAAAATGAGGACCCCGATTGTTGGGGGCCAGAGGCTGACTCCGTAAACCCCTTAGAGAGGACTAAATGCACTGTGAAGCGGTATATAAGTCTAAGTGCTATTGCTATCATCTATCAACTATCAACCAATCAATCCATTAATCTATCATCTATAGTTATCATAGATCAGTGGTTCTCAACCTGTGGGTCAGGACCCCATTTGGGGTCGAACGACCATTTCACAGGGGTCGCCAAACAACACAGTCCGCCATTTTTTCCCCCTTTTCCTTAGCTGTGCTACTCCCTTTTATTCTATTGGCTTTTGAAAGCCAATAGAATAGACTCTCTTGAATAGAGTCTAATCCTATTGGCTTTCAAAAGCCAATAGGAATTGTCCAGGCTGTCTCTGCCCTGCTGAGCCCGCCAAAAGTCCCATTCTGCAAACGGTGCTGCACCAGTTGAGTAGTCCTCGACTTACGACCGGTTGAGTAGTCCTCGATTTACAACTGGTTGGGGGTCGCGGCATTAAAAAGGTTGAGAACCACTGTCATAGATGATAGATGTGGCAGCACAGTGGTGAGAATACAGCATTGCAGGCTGACTCTGCCGACTGCCGGCAGTTCGATCCTGATCGGCTCAAGGTCGACTCAGCCTTCCATCCTCCCGAGGTCGGTAAAATGAGGACCCAGATTGTTGGGGGCAAATATGCGGACTCTGTAAACTGCTTAGAGAGGGTTTTCAAAGCACAACAAAGCGGTATATAACTCCAAGGGCTATTGCTACTGACATTATGGGCGCTAGGCTGATAGCTAGAACTTGTCTCACGTCACATACCAAGAGCACCTTTAAGCTGACCTCAGCTGATCTCCAAAAACTAAGCTGGGACAGATCGGGTTATGAGGATGATGTAGCTTTGACCAACCCCATTTTCGCTCCCCCAAAGAACCACCTCCTGGAATTCGGACACCAGGCCACTCCTCCCCAAAAGGAACAGTGGGGAGGCAATCCTTGGCTTACGGCCACAACTTTATGTTACCCACCATTTATGTTGCTAAGCGATCTATTTGTTAAGCGGCTCCTGCTCTATTTTACGACCTTCCTTGCAATCGTTGTTAAGGGGATCGCTGCAGTTGTTTTAAGTTAGCCACACGGTTCTTAAGCGAATCTGGGCTTCCCCGTGGCCTTTACTCATCAGCTGGTCGCAGAAGAGGAACACGTGACCCCAGCAGACTGCAACCGTCATAAGCTTTGATCCCGTGACCACGGGGAGGCTGCAGTGGCCGTTTTAAGTGTGAAAAATGATCGCAAGGCACTTTTTTTCCCAGGTGTTGCAACGTTGAAGGGTCAATAAATGAACTGTGGTTAAGTTGAGGACGACCTTGGTACGAAGTTCTTGGGGGGAAAAAAAACCTCACGCAAAATAGCTGACAAAGATGCCAATCTTGTTCAAACAGCCGAATTGAAAAGCTTCCTAATGTTTTACAAGCAGGCAAGGCCCCCCCTTTTTTTTCTTTTTAATGCATTGGCCACAATTCCGCAAAAGAAGAGGAAGCAACGGAGGGCCTGGAAATGATAAAGATTAAACGTTAAATTTAAATACCAACGGGAAATTAAAATTAAGAAAAACTTACCAGGTTATCATCTAAAACAGAGGTAGTCAACCTTGGCTCTTTTATGACTCGTGGACTTCAACTCCCAGAATTCCTGAGCCAGCTGTGCTGGCTCAGGAATTCTGGGAGTTGAAGTCCACGAGTCATAAAAGAGCCAAGGTTGACTACCCCTGGTCTAAAAGATGGAGTGTCAAATCAATTCAGATATGTATAGACTGAAGATTATTGATGAATACTAGAAAGATTATTGATGAATACTAGAAGATTATTGGTGAATACTAGAAGATTATTGATCAATCCAGAAAGGTATTTTCCGTTTGATTGATAGAATAAGAACTGTGTTGGTCCGAACATGAGACAGCAGATATTATGGGGGAAAGAGAGGGAATTAGTTGTTGTTCATACTTTGAGATTTGTACTGATGCTATTCAAATGTAATGGCACTACTGTGCTCAGCCGCCACGCTACGTTTCAAATATGTAAAATGTAACATTGGAAAATTAATAAAAAAAACTTAGGGAAAAAAAAACTGACGCAAAATAGCTGACATAGAGGCCGATCTTGTTCAAGCAGCCGGATTGAAAAGCTTCCTAACATTTTACAAGCAGGCAAGGCCTTCCCCCCCCCCTTTTTTTTTTTTTTGTAATGCATTGGCCACAATTTAATGCATCGGCCACAATTTAATGCATCGGCCACAATAAGAAGAGGCAGCAACAGAGGGCCCCGGAAGCCATTCATTTGCCAAAATGGAGGCTCAGCTCCCTCTCCAGCCCCACCACAACCTGGTCGTTCAGGAAGAGAAGCTGTCCGTGGGGCAGGAACTTCTCCAGGACGGCCTCCGTCCGGTCGGCCTTCAAGAGCGCCTCGCTCCCCGGGGTCAAAAGCTTCAGGTGCTCCAGCAGAGCGTTGGCCAGGAGTTTCAGCGTGCCCTCCGCCAGCATCAGGTTTTCCTCGGGGTCACAAACCAGAACAAAAGCCAAGGCCTGGACCCCCAGCCAGAGCACCGTAACGTCCTCGGGGAAGGGGTCCCCTGCGGGGAGGCGGAAGACCCCAGGGGGGGTCTCCGGGAGAGAAACAGCTTCGTCGGACAGCAGCGGCTGGTGAAGGTGCTGAGAGAGACGCTTCCCGGAGAGGGTCTGCTGCAGCCGGAACGCCGTTTCCACCCGCCTGAGGACACAGAGGAAACCAGGGTTGACGCTTCGTTGGGAGAGGGGTGGGGTTCTCTCTTACAGCTGCTACTTCAAAAAGTGGGGGGGGGAGAGAAAGGTTTGGAGGCAAGGAGATGAATCTCTTACGGGAGACAGCTTCCCCCCCACACACACTTTGGAGAGATGTGCCCTCCCAGGTCTGTCAAAATGTGGATTAAAATCTTACAAGCGGTTCTGTTTCAAGCAGTTGGGGGGAGAGAAAGGGAGAGGAGAAAAGGGGAAAAAAAGGGGAGGAAAGACGGAAGGGTAAGGATAAAAATAGAGAAGGAAAGAAAGATGAAGGAGGGAGGGAGGAATAGAGAAGGAAAGATGAAGGAGGAAAAAATAGAGAAGGAAGGATGAGGGAGGGAGAGTGGAAGCAAGGAAAAAATGAAGGATAAAGGGAGAAGGAAGGCAGGCAGGGAAAGGGCAGGAGAAGGAAGAGATGGGAGGGAGGAAAAAACAGAAGGAAGGATAAAGGAAGGAAGCAAAAAATAAAGGAGGGAGGAGTAGAGAAGGGAGGGAAGATGAGGGAGGAGAAATAGAGGAAGAGGAAGGTAGGAAAAATAAAGGAGGAAGAGAGGAAGGAAGGAAAAAATAGAGGGAGGAATAGAGAAGGGAGGGAAGAGAAAAGAGGGAGAAGAGAAAACAAGGAAGGATGAGGGCGGGAGGAAAATAAAGGCAGGAAGAAGAGTGGCAGGAAGGAAAAAATGAAGCAAGGAAGAAGCAGGGGAGGGAGAAAGGGAAAAAAACAGAAGGAAAGAAGGGAGAGAGGGAGGGAGGAAAAAAGAGCACGAAGGCTGAGGGAGGGGAGGGAGGGAGGAAAAATGAGGGAGGGAGAGTGGAAGCAAGGAAAAAATAAAGGAGAAAGGAAGGCAAGCAGGCAGGGAAAGGGCAGGAGAAGGAAGAGATGGGAGGGAGGAAAAAACAGAGAAGGAAGGAAGGATAAAGGAAGGAAGCAAAAAAATAAAGCAGGGAGGAGTAGAGAAGGGAGGGGGAGAAATAAGGAAGGAAGGAAGAGGGAGGGAGGAAAAATAAGGGAAGGAGGAAGAGAGGAAGGAAGGAAGGAAAAAATAAGGGAGAGGGAGGAATAAAGAAGAGAAAAGAAGAGAAAACATGGAGAAGGAAGGATGAGGGCGGGAGGAAAATAAAGGAAGGAAGAAGAGTGGCAGGAAGGAAAACATGAAGCAAGGAAGAAGCAGGGGAGGGAGAAAGGGAAAAAAACAGAGAAGGAAAGAAGGGGGAGAAAGGGAGGGAGGAAAAAATAAAGGAAAGAGGAGGGAGACCCCCCCGCCCATGAGCCCCCCCAGTGAGACGGGGGACCCCGAGGAGGCCTCGCTGCGCCCCCCCCCCTCACCTGGCCACCGCCCGCAGCCGCTCCTTCTGGGCCGGGGGCTCCTCCGCCGCCCCCGCGAAGACCCTGCAGAAGAGGGGCCGGCAGGGATCGGGCGCTTCCCCGGGACGGGCGCGCAGCGGGTGGATCAAGAAGGCGCGGACCATGGTGGGAGCAGGCTGGGAGGGGGGGGCGACCCTCGGGGGTGCCCAGCTGTGGGGGGAGGAAGAGAGAGGCTGCCCCCCCCCGCAAAAGCAGCAGGGGGGGCTGCAGAGGACGCCCCCTCCCGATGCAGGGCGGGTATTGGAGGGGGGGGCACCCAGCAGGCTCCGGAGCCGCCCAGCTGCGGGAACGACCCTCTCGCCGGCTCTACCCGGGAACCCGGAAGCAGAGAGACTACATTTCCCGACGGGCCCCGCGCCAAACCGGAAGCGGGGCTAGACCGGCTTTGGAAAGCCGCCGAACCAAGGCTGTGTTCGCGCATGCGTGAAATGCCTCCGGCCTCTCCGGGAAGGGGAGGCGGCCGGGCGAGGGAGGCGGGTCCCCTTTCGAGCGGGCGCGGGGAAATCTCCAATCAGCAGAGTGGGCGGCGCCCACAAGCGAAGGCAGGGGAATGGCTGGGCGTTCCAAAGGCCGGGCGGAGCGGATTGGCCCGCCTCGGAAAAGGGGGCGTGGCGCGGAGCCCTGTGGACAGCTGGTCATTTGCCGTCTTTTAGAGCAGCTCTGCAAACTTGGCCGCTTTAAGACTTGTGGACTTCAACCCCCAGAATTCCTCAGCCAGCAAAGCTGGCTGAGGAATTCTGGGAGTTGAAGTCCACAAGTCTTAAAGCGGCCGAGTTTGAAGACCCCCGTTTGAGAGAGTCATTGAGGCCACTGGGAGGTTTCTCTGTGACCTCAGGGTCACCTGAGTGGTGCAAATATGCCTTCGTGGAAGGCTGAAAGCTTCCCATTTGCCCCACACAGGTGACCCCGAGGACACAGGTCAACCTCCAGGTGGCCTCAACGACTCTCTAAAACAGTGCTTCTCAACGTTTGTGTGACGGCGACCCCCGTCACACAAACGTTCTGCTCATGCGCCGGCGCAGCCCCATGCACAGCGCGCATGCGCGGCGCCCCCATGCGTGGCGCACGTGCGCATTGGCACCCCATGCCCAGCGCGTGTGCGCGACGGTGCCCCCATGCGCAGCGCGCGTGTGCGGCGGTGCCCCATGCGCGGCGCGCACGCGGCAGCGCCATGTGCGGCACGCGTGCACAGCGCCGCGAAAAATGGCAGGTTGCCGCCTTTGGCGACCCCCCAAAAATGGGCGATCGACCCCAAATGGGGTCGCGACCCATAGGTTGAGAACAGCTGCTCTAAAAGAAGGCAAAGGACCAGCTGTCTGCAAGGAGTGTAAATCCTTCCATTCCCCACCATCCAGTGAGAACTGAAGAAGCTTCTGGGATAAGAAGCGAGACATCTTCAAAGGAAAACAAGACAGTCCACCTGCCTCCTGGAAAAGCACCTTTGGGATAACTATGACGGAGTCATTCAGATTCTTCTCCCAGAATTGCCGGCCCTTCACCGAATCCAATCCTGCCACTGAGCTGGGGTGGGGGGGTGTCAGTGACGGTGGAACGCAGCTACCCCCCAATCTTTTTCACTCCCCTTTGTGAAGAAAGCCAGGCCACAACCCCCAATCCGATCCGTAACCTAGCAATTTATTCAACTCTCCGATTACATCTCAACGCGTCGGGCGAGGAGACACTTTTACAAGGAAATTTGCTGGGGGGGCAGGGGGGGAAGAGAACAATTTAACAAGGGTTGGAACAATTAGCCCCAGCAAGAACAGGCAGTACAATCTCTCCAACGCCCCCCCCCCCCTTAAGCGATGACTTCAAGCCTCGTTGGGTTAAATATCTGGCCTCTTTTCTACAAACCTGATCCGATCTTGGACACTTGTGTGCTGAAACCAATAAAGCACCAGTCAAATGTGGGGAGGAGGGAATTGCCACCATGTCCCTGGAGTGGTATTGTGTGTGTGTGTGTCTATGTCTGTGTCAAATTCAGGACATGTGGACATGTGTGTCAAATCCAGGACATGTGGACAGTGCTACTTTGAGAGTCTGGAAAAAACTTTTCCCACTTCAGGCATATAAGATTGCTGGCTTTCTCCCTCATGCCAAAACACTTTCTCCCAACACGCAACCGTGGCAACTCTCCAGTGCAAGACCCTTGGAACATGGCACGGGCGCATATGCCAGGGGACCCCACAGCCAGCGGGGCAGGCCTCCTTGCCATCACCTCCAAAAGGAAGACCAGGAACAGCTTCCCACATTGCGATGCATCAAACTGCGAAGGGCAACCGTCCTGTGAAGAATTTGGAGTGTGCAAAAGAATGGGGGGGGGGGAGATTAGATGCATCTGGGCCCAGCTGATGCTTTCCAGATGTGCAAGGCAGGGCCCAGGGGCTCTTGGCAGCACATCTGGTAGGTCTGACTTGCTAAAGGCAGATTTATAACTCAACTGCAGATACCACGGGAGCATTTGTCACAGTGCAAGGCAAATATTTAGGAATTTGGGCCCATCCTCTCCAGAATTATCCCCCTATCCCAAATTCCTCGCCTACTCTTCACGGGACAACCCCACTTCCCATTCCAAAAGGCGAAGGTTTCCCGCCATTTTCTCTGCCTCGTTCCTCCTCCCCCCATCTAGAATTCTTCACCTTCCCTCATTGCAAATGAGTTTGATGCCTCAGAGACAAAAAATTTTTTTCCCCTCCTTCTCTCCCTTCCCTTCAACATTGCTGCCATGATTCCAGGCTTACCATAAATTAAACTCAATACTTAAAAGGCGCTGCTGAAACTTGGCACAGGCATACTACAACCTGGATTGGGGGGGGTGGGGAAGAAAAAAAACAAAGCAAAACAAGAAACGAGAGCTATCAGCCAGGTTATTAAATAGTGGTTTTCTTTTTTTGTCGGTCAACCTTAAGAGGGAGTTTTCCTTAAAAAACAACAACAAAAAACCTTTATATTCTTCATTATAGGTTAACGGTAGAGCCAAGTTCAAATTTGCCTCAAGAGAGATTTCTTTTTTAAAATAAAACACACACAAACACACAAATCGTTGCCACTGAAAAAGGCCTTGAGGATTTAACTTGACAGAAATTTCACCTCCGTTTCTCAAGCTGGGCCACTTTAAGACGGAGGGGGGGGGGACTTCAACTCCCAGAATCCCCCAGCCAGCTGTGCTGGCTGGGGGATTCTGGGAGTTGAAGTCGTCCTCCCCCATCTTAAAATAGCCCAGCTTGAGAAATTACCAATCTAAAGCCTCCAAGGTGGGGATGGATACATCAAAATCCCATCCAAAATAAACTGCCCAGTTTCTCTCTCTCACCCTCCCCATTCTACCTCAAATCTCCATCAAACTGACACCCCCCCCCTTCCACACACCTGCAGATCACAGCTTAAAAGAAACCAACAACCACGCGGCTTCATTAAACCGGAAGACAAGATCCCCAAAACTTTAAAGAGTTAAATCACTGGCAAAGAACTGAGTCCTTCCTGTGCCAATTCCTTTTTTTGTTGCTGTTTTTTTAAGTGCAGCGGCTCCCGTCGGGGGGGGGGGGGGAGAAAGGAAGCTAGATTTGTGCCCGTGAGGGACCCTATCCGAATCGCGTTTATTTCTTTGTAGAAGTTTTGATTTCTTGTTTGTTCTAGCTCTGCAACAGCAAAGAACGGGCCCAACGGAGCTTGCTTTGACGCCCAGGGTGGCAAACTTTTAACAACTTGGCTAGTTGCTCTTGCTCGATTCCTTAAAGCCAGCTGGAGTCGACGTGGAACTGCGGAACAAGATGTAAAGAAAAATTAACTGCCCGGCTTGAATCGGTTCTCACCTGGCCTGGCCACGAAGCAGATTCCTGCTTCTTCCGACTCCTCTCCAGCGGGCGTGGGTTTGTTCCCCCCGCACAATTTTCCCAGGGGAAACCAGTGTTTGGCCGTGCAACGGAAGAGTTGTTCGCAACCGGGGAAAAGTCACGCAAGCGTTTTACAAAGGTCAAAAGGAGGTATTAAAAAAAAATATCCCCCCCCCAAAAAAGATTTTTCTTTCTGAAACCAACTTTTACACCAAACTGTTCCCGCTCCTTTGAAAAAGCCGCTCTGGCATAACACAACGCAAAGGAGGTCAAGAGAATCTGGGATCTGTTTTTAAGCAAACGCACTCCTCGGTCTCCTCAATCTGGAGTAAAGCCTGAACAATCCGGGGTAGGGTCTCCACAGACCTCTCCTCCGAGGGGTAAAACTGCGCGGATGGGAGGGGAGATGGGAGCAAGAGAAGGCAGCTTTCCCCCCTTCCCCCCCCCGGCCTATTTTGAGCATGTGGAGTTGGACGGACGGAGGCAAAGGCAAAGTCAAGGCTGGTTCTTGCTTTGGACTGGAGGAAAGCTTGCTTTCAACTTAAAACGGACAACTTTAAAACGGTGGACAGTCTCCAGCATCAAGGTTTGTCCTCCCAGGCCCGCCACGGAGGCCAAAATAAAAATACGAATAATAAAAATGAGTCCTCAAAGAGAGTGATTTCCAGCCTGGCTCAGCAACAGCAATTGTGGGAAGGCTTGGCTCCCTCCAAGAATTCCTGTTCATTTTTTAAAACTGCTCTGCTCTATTGTTTTGCTGTGGTTAGGTGGAGGGTCTCCCAGTTTTTCTCTCCCCCCCCCCCCGTGCCTGCAATAATCCCAGGACATCCCCTTTCTGCATGCAAGCTAAAACAGCTTCTCCCCATGGGTGAACCCCAATGAAAAGAGTTTTGCTGCCATTCTAAGTAAGTACTTCGTGAGATATTGTGGAATCTCCTCCCGTTTCAAGCAATCTGTACGGGCACAGAGGTTACACACCACACACCACTCCAGAGACACGTGGGGAACACTGCAAACGCGTTCCCACCTTCGTCTTGCCTCAATTGTCCTCTCCAGGAAGACGGGCGGGAAACCAACGAGGCACGCTCACCACGTGGCGCCTGAGCAACCACACTCCACCCGCAACACGCACGTTTGTGTCGCCAGGAAAGACGCTCCCCGCGGCTGTGTCCTTTGTTCTTCCTAAAAGGCACCCCGAAGCAAGCTTATTGGATTCAAGAAAAGGTTCTGCTCGGCTTTGCTGTCCCCAAAAACTGCAGAGCATTGTTCACACGCCTTTGTTGGCTTCTGGCGTGCCCGACGGAGCAGAGTGACGCGGTTGCAAGGAGTTTGTATCCTGCTCGTCGCAAAAACCGGACCGTGCCGGAATAGAACAGGGCAGTTTTGGAAGGAGAATCCGTATTTCTTTCGCCTTGCAGACGTCTGTCCTGGATGGGTGCAGGGCGGGAGACGCTCTGCCCGGGATACACGCCGAAGATGCCCCATCCAGCCTTCCTGCCCCCCC